AATATTTTGTTGTTGTTCAATAATATTAGCTATTAAGTGAGTGCACTCAACACAGCTAGGCTTGTAGCTAGAATGAAGTAAGTTAAAAGTTGATTGTGTGTTTGTCAGAAATATTTTGTTGTTGTTCAATAATATTAGCTATTAAGTGAGTGCACTCAACACAGCTAGGCTTGTAGCTAGAATGAAGTAAGTTAAAAGTTGATTGTGTGTTTGTCAGAAATATTTTGTTGTTGTTCAATAATATTAGCTATTAAGTGAGTGTTAGTGTAGTTTTATTAGCATACTACTGTGTTGCAATCTGTAAATTAATAAAATGGTGAAAAGAAAGAGAGTATTAATTGCTTATCATGTAAACTATAACTTTTTATTCAGTCAGATTCTGGTAATATGTTTGATCTTAGTAGGCTAGAAAGAAGATCTTTAGTGTAAATCATTGGTTTATTTATGACACTTTGCATGATGTATATCTGCTTCTGGTTAGAGAAGTATAGAGCTTATTGAAATGTAGAAGCATGAATGTTGCATGCTAAACTTGTGCCGTTTAAAATCTAATTGGAAATTCCACTTGATCGACTTGTTCATACTTTCTACCTGTGAAAGCTATTTAAAATTGATAAATATGAATAACAAGAACTTCACTTTTGTCAGATACAAACTTAAATCCTTAATTTTAATACTGTAAAATAAATTATATACCATAGCACAGATAGCTATTAGGGAAAGAAAAAATGCTAGAATATATAAGGAGATACCAAAAGTTACTAAAGATGTTAAAGGATATAGAGAATAAGTGTTCAAAGAAGAGAATATGTATGTTAGCACATGATTCAATCTTGTTGAATAATTATAAAGAGCAGTAGTTGGTAAAAAGTTATCATAAAAATAACAAGTCAACAAATTAGGAGTGCTTGACTTAACTAACTGAATAAGTTTCTTCTCTTTACGAACATGTATATTTATATAGGTGTAATTATTTCAAAACAAAGGATCATTAAACATATGTATGCTAGTTTTTATGTAATATCAAATATTGAAATCAGTAGAGATCTCATGATATTTAATGTAGGCTTTTATTCATTTTGTCATTAAAAATATTTGTTTAAAATATACTAATGCAGATTTATTAAAATAAAATGCTGTGGTTGTTATTCCCATTTGTTGCAGCGAATTGGTAGCTCGGACACGTCCTCATGCTGATAAGAAAACTGAACAAACTGACTGTGCTTTACAGAAGTCTCCAGTGCAAGATTGTTCAGAATGTTTAGAAGGAACTAGAAATCCCACCACTTCTGGTGATAATACTGGTGAGTTTCAAGAGTCTTGAATATTGTAATAACTACCCGTAAAAGATTTAAGAAAATGATTATTACTGGTTGGTTCTTTTCAAGAACACCCAAGTACTATATTGTCTTTAGAATTTTGCGAAGTTGGTTTAACTTGTATTTTAATAAGAAGTATATATCCTGTCTCTTACGTGATAAAAACTCTACAAGAAATGGAAGTAAAATTCTATAGACAATGTAGTACTTGGGTGTTCTTGAAAAGAACCAACCAATGATCTACAGAAAAAAAAGTTGGTTTAAGTTGTATTTCATTAAGAAGTATATATCCTGTCTCTTACGTGATAAAACCCTACAAGGAATGTAGTTTTTCTGTAGATCATGATTGTGATCATCTCTGTAAATCATGTTTGGTTTATAGTTGAGTACTCGAAACATTGGAAGTTGTTGAAGCTGTGTTCTTCCATAAACTAAACATTTTTTCTTTTTTGCTTTGCCATAAGTGATACAAGATTGGCTAAGTTTTTCAGTCATAATTGTAGTGAAAACAGCATTTGATATTTTTAAAATAAAGTAGCTTATTGAAGGAAGTATTTCGATTTAGTTTTATCATAAAATGATTATTTGATATTTTTTGTCTATAAGAAAATAAGGCTCTGGTAGTATCTTCAGAATGTACAAGTACTTAAAAATCCTCATGATTAAATGTTTGTGTTGTTGTTCTCACTTGTAACCAATCAGCTTGAAATTGTGAGAGGAAGATGAAAAGAAGTTAAACCATAATCTAAGTATTGTTAGCCACAGGAAATGAAAACTGCTTTAAAATCATGTTTTAGTTAAGACAGTAACTTCTTTCTTATATTACGTGACAGTGAACATGATCAATTTTATCTGCTTTTCTGTGCCTGTGTGCTTTTTCAAAACTGACATATCAGAAGATAGGTTTCAAGGTGAATTATTCAAAATTATTAGCAATACTCTGAAATATAACACTAACATAAAGAACATTTGAAGTTTACATAACAATAATAAAAATGTTAGTATCAAGGAGTTTGTTTTCTAATTACCAGAGGATTTTATAAGGTTGATATTATAAATACAAAATGCATTTTTCATTGTCAAGAGAGTCCATAGTAGACCATCACTGATAGAGAACCACCCATGAAAAAAAACAAACTGCTAATTTGTTTTTATACATTTCAGAGAAAAAGAGGCATTTATATTAGATCCAAGTTTATTAATTTGGCATACTTGTTATTGACTCAAAAAAATATACCATGTTTTGTTTATATACTTAAAATTCTTGAAATAGCACTTGCATGTCTAGAAGTAGGAGAAAACTCCTGGTAAACTTTGGAAAAAGACTCAGAACATAAACTGAAGTGTATATAAAGTATTGAGGGCTTGGTGTGGCCTATAGGTTAGGATGGCTGAACTTGAATCTACATGTATCTCATTGCTACAAAAACACCCTCTACACTTTGGGATCATGGATACACTATATGAGTGATGGTCAAATCCCACTATTTGGTCAGACAACAATAGCCCAAGAGTTAGCAGTGGGTACTGTTGACTGTATGTCTTCCATCTAGTCTATCAGTTCAAAATTAGATAATGTACAGATAATCCTCTATAGCTTTATGTGGAAATTCTGAGCATTTCTACACTAAAGAAATTAATAATTTATGTGATTCAGTCAGATATATTATGGGATGGTTGCTAGCTGGACCAAGGTCTGCAAGATTAACTTGGGTGATTTTCACGTGTGATTGATCCAAACTATGTGTTTGGTTAATACATCATTGAGAGTAATGCACCTTAGGATTTGGAAGTTTAGTGTGAGAAATGAGGAAATTTTAGGTGCTATTTGCATGAAGGAATTTGCAAATAATACTTCTATGTGATATAATATTAATGTTGTTTGTCAGTTCTATGATTATTATAGACTAAATTAAAAAAAAACTTTTATGTTGTAGAAATGTTACAGCTGCTTTTAAAGTACAAAACTGAAATATTTTTTCATACATTGACGTAAGCACTTTTCAGCCATTAATTTCAGGCCAAATAAACAAACTAAATAGATACATAATCCTTTTATAAAGAAGTGGAAAAAAATACTGTACCTAAATATTAAGGTTTATCTTTAATCTGAGTTCTAACTTGGTTTCATACTGTACCTAAATATTAAGGTTTATCTTTAATCTGAGTTCTAACTTGGTTTCATACTATGTCTATACACTAAGGTTTATCTTTAGTCCGAGTTCTAACTTGGTTTCATACTGTACCTAAATATTAAGGTTTATCTTCAGTCTGAGCTGCTGATTTGGTTTCATACTGTACCTAAATATTAAGGCTTATCTTTAGTCTGAGTTCTAACTTGGTTTCATACTATGTCTATACACTAAGGTTTATCTTTAGTCTGAGTTCTAACTTGGTTTCATACTATGTCTATACTCTAAGGTTTATCTTTAGTCTGAGCCGCTGACTTGTTTCATAATGTACCTATATACTAAGGTTTACCTTTAATCTTAGCTACATACTAAAGTTTACCTTTAATCCCTATGAAACCAAGTTAGAACTCAGACTAAAGATAAAGCCTTAATATTTAGGTACAGTATGAAACCAAGTCAGAACTCAGATTAAAGATAAACCTTAATATTTAGGTACAGTATGAAACCAAGTTAGAACTCAGACTAAAGATAAACCTTAATATTTAGGTACAGTATGAAATCAAATCAGCAGCTCAGACTAGACCTAACGTAAACTTGCAAGTCACCAGTACATTTTAGGAGTAATTTTTGTACCTGTGAATCCCAACTAAAATTCTTGAAATTCTCATGGAAAATTTCTCATTTTATATAAATAAATAAATATTTTCACCTCTTATGAAATTCCAACTCAACATCTGTGATTTATTTTTTCATCATACCAGAGTAGAACTGATTGAAAAGGACATGTTTTGAGTGTTGTTGAAACGATTACATCAGTTTCCAGTCTTTACTAGGATAATTTGTTCAGGAAATGTCATGTGGTCTGTTACACTTAACATTTGTAGTTTTATTCACTTGAATTGTTCAAATATTTTATACAATTGTTTTAGTTAATCTTTTATGTTACTTTGATAATTTTCTCACCTTGGTAAGGTTACAATAAGTGTCCATTTTTCAACTGTTCATCCTCCTGTTTACAGGTCATGATTGATAGACCTTGTAGAATTTCTTTATACCTCAGAATATCTAATTGAAAATTATGTAAAGTTTATTATGAACTAGTAAAAGTACATTTTCTAAAAAACATTGATTTTAACCAAAAATAAGACAATAGGTTAAGAAATTCCATGTCTCAGGCTTGAACCCAAGACCTTTGGCTTACGGGGCCAGTGTTCAACCAACATGAACTATCCAAGAGTACAAGCCATTCCCGTCTCTCCTCATTAAAAAAGACTTAGATTTAATATTTATTAACTTTCACCTTTATTAAACATGTTGAAGTTCTCTCACTTCTTTCTTGATGTATCCCTGGCTTCGAATTTGCAAAATGCTCTAAATGATTTGTGTAGGAGATGTATATACATGAATTAATTGTTTTCTTTCTTTTTTTTTCATAAGTTAGCGATCGGAAAATATTGGTAGCATTTTCTGTTTCACTAAGAAAAACTTTAAAGATATCAAGCAATTGAAATAATGGTTTACTTCACTTGTTAAAACCATCGCAGTACAAATAGGTTAAAATTTTTGTTGAGAGATGAATTGAGAACAGATTGAGAGAACTTATTTTGGTTCTCTCTCTCTCTTTAAAACTAATTATTTATTTATATAATCATTCTACTTAACAAACTAGGTTCTTTGGCCTCTGGTCAAAAGAAGCCTTTGCCACCACCCCAGAGCTCAAAACCAACTCTAAGGGGACTCGATACTAATGCTCAAACTAAGGCACTGCCTAGTTCATCCAGTCTCAGTTTGTGTACATCATCATCTTCAGACTTGTATCTGTCATTACCACTGCTGTCATCATCAACACATTCCAGTCAGTATGAAGAAGACAATGACGAAGCAGAGAGTTCTTGTAGACTGCTATCCGATGAACCAGATTGCGGGGGTGATTTTCCAAAGAGTAATACAAACAGCTATCCGCAGAATGCAGACAAAGAATACCAAAGTGACAAGTTACCACCTTCACCTGGTGAAGTTGGTTCACAAGATTGAAATAGTTTGGAGCAACATTTTTTTATAGCATTCACGTTTATTTTGTTTTTTCTTCAAAGTGATTGAGAGAAGTGATTATAATTTTTTTTATTTTTTTTTTTTTACAGTTTGGGTAAATTGTATTTAAGAGAAATTGGAAATTAGTTTGTTTTAAATTTGTTTTTTCTTTTTTTTACATTTTACAAAGACTGGGCTTAATAACCATTTCAAAATTGGTATTCTTAAATTTTCAGATTATGTATATTCAAAAACAACTGTCAAAGAACTTGTACTGTTACTTTTTTTTTATAGAAAATCATATTTGTTAACGAATGTAGAACGTTCAAAATTTAAGATTAATCTGTCTTTTTTGGACTATGATGGGTAAAAAAATGCAAAACAGAAAATTATATTACACTTTTCCCATTTCTTGAAACTTTAATTTATTGTATTTTCCGGAGAAACTACATTCAGGGCTTTTTGGTTAAGTATTTATTGGATTTAGTAATTTTAGAGCAAAAAAAATGGAACATCTAATTTCATCAGCTGCATGTAAGATTATTCGTAACTCTTTAAAGTGATGTAAATATGCTTGAGTTGGTATTTGTGTACAAGTATCAAGTTAGCTAATTTTTGATAAATGGGGTTCTGTTCATAATGGCAAATGTCTGGAAGCACAACAACCCACCTAACAGAAATGTAGAGTGTATACACACCTTATGACCTAAACAAAGTACTCAGTCCTGCATCACCATTCTCGGTAATCCAGTTAAGTTTTAAACTGTTAGCTCGCTACAATGTTATAAAGCTGATCATTTTTGTTTATAAACAAATATCAACTACTTTTGAAAACAAAACATATGTGTAATTCCACACGATTTGTAGCTTAGTGCCAGGTTATAAATAGTCTTTATAATTTTTACTGATTTTTAGGAGTTCTAAACAACATACAAAATTTTATACGTGATGAAGGTTCTTCAGTTTCAACCAGTTCAACAGAATAGTGACATCACATTAATATTTGGGCTGGATTATTTCTCTGTGTTGGTCAGGAAAATTGTGTGTATTCTAGACAATGGAACTGTTGTTATCTTGTGTTAGAGTTTGCTAGATTTTGTATTTTATTGAATATAAGATAAAAAAAAATAATAATAGTACTTAGATGTTACGAAATTCTTTAATGTTTCTTTGGTAACTACTGGTTAGGCTTAATAAATTTACTTAGTGCAGTAGTATAAGATGGACATTCTGAGTTTAGAGTACTTGGAGAAAAATATTTAAAAAAATAAACTTTGAACTTTTATAATTATATTGTATTAAAAAGTGTGGAATGATTTTTTGTAGGTTAATTGTTTTTATCTCATGAATCTTATCCGAAATAATGCTATTTTATGAGGCAAGGCCTAACTATGTACTTGTGTTAGCATTCTTCCACCTTGAGTTTAAATAAATACAATCAGTGACTATGATATACCTCGAAAGTATCAAAAGGCAGTGGCTGTCAAATTATTATTGGTCCTGACAGACCTACAGTTACGCTAAGACATTCGTAATATTTTCTCACGTTTTTAAAAACATCTGAGGAAAGAAGAAAAAAAACTGAAAAGTAGCTCTGGCTTTACTAGTTACTTTGAAGTACAGTATTTTTTGTCACAAGTATTTAATTTTTTTGTGTCAGCAGGTTAATTAACACCCATTATCACTAGTTTAACCTTCTATTTTTATTCTGAGTTTGTACAATCATCATCTGTTCTCACTTCATGTCGCTAACCCTTCCATAAAGTATTGTATTTGAAATTTTAGCATACCTTTTTTTTATATATATTTTACTGTTTTTTTTTCTTTTTTATTATTATAAATTAAACTGATATTTGGATATTGAAGTTTTGTATTTCAAATAGTCTTTCCTTTAAAACTAATAAATTGTATATGCTGAACACATTTGCATTTTTATTGTGGTAGATAATCGTGTTTTAATTCACTTTCATACTTTTAGTTTGTTTGTTTTTAAAATACAAAATTACCCTTATACTTAGGTTAGATTTATTTCGATAAGGGCCCGGCACACTTTCTAAAAACATTGCACAGTTATGCTTGATGTTATTCGTTATTAATTTACATAATACGAAGTACTGAAACTGGTAATCTCGCAGTAGGCGTGCAGTTACTTCTTTCCGTGGAGGCCGCCAGGTGGTTAGGACGCTTAACTTGTAATCTGAGGATAGCTGATTCGAATCCCCGTAACCGAACATGCTCGCCCATTCAACCGTGGGTGTAGTATATATAATGTTACGTTCAAATTTACTGTTCGTTGGTAAAATAATAGTTCGCGAGTTATCGGTGGGTGGTGTTTAGTAGCTACCCTCTTTTTAGTCTATCACTGCTAAATTAGGGACGGCTAGCGCAGGTAGCCCTCGTGTAGCTATGCGCAAAATTCAAAACAAACTTTCAATGTATACCAGCCACAAATTCGATATTTAATATATATATCGTATATGTTTTTTTTACAATGGAAGTTCAAAATACACTTAGGATAACCAAATGTAATGAACTGGATACTTGGGTACCCGTTATTATGATGCCCTTTCTGTACGTCAGTATGAGAAAGCGCATGAGTCTTTTAGTAGAAGTGTTAGCAAAACCGTGAATTTTATATTGAGAAAACGTTTCGTGATTGGATCAATTATTAGCGTAAGTTAAGTAATTTTTGTTTATTTCAGTAAAGAACTGATTATTATCATAATTATAATGACATTCCTTTATCTATAACGAAAAATCGGATAAACAAATAATGTCTCCAACACTTTGTAAAATAGCTCCAATTTTAGAACATTTAAAATTGAATAGAAAAATTGTCACAAAAAATTTTATATTTTAGTCTTTTATTACACACGCACAAAAAAACAAACCATAATTTCATTATAATGATGATAAACCAATAAAAAATCGTCATTTAAAGTAGTTTCAAAAGTAACGTCAGCGATAATTCAAAATCCACAAAGATTTAACGATTTCTTTGTTGAAAGACTGATGTTTAAGGAACGTAAGGGATCAATTTAGTTTTGTGTTTCTGGGCAATTAGCATAGGTTTCATCCACTTACCTACACCTAGATGGCGGCACCGACAAAAGTGTTATCTTTTATTCCAGTACGTGGGGCATGTTGCTTCGTCTATCGTTAAGGTAGCGGTTTACAATTAACAGATAGACAGAGCAAACATTATGTTTTTAAATCGCAACATATCACTAAGTTAACCGAGTTTCATCAGGTTTATTTTATATTATATATAAAATCTTTTATAATTTAAAAACTAGAAAGAGTAAACAATTTTTACGGATTTACAGAACAAACTTCTGTCCGTAAAATAGTATTATAAACAACAAATATATTTAACCGTCAACAAAGTTGCGACATTTAATTTTTACCTCTGTAGAATGGTTAGTAAACATTTACAGATATCCGGCTACTACGGATGTTATCAATTACACTAATAACTGTATGGAATTCATAACAGTATACAACTGTATAACTCTGTGAAGATTGGCTGTTTTCCCATTATGAATAGTGTTACGAGTTATATTTTAATTTTGTTATTAGCTAGAGAGTAGATCAAATAAGGATAGAATATTCTAGAAAAAATCACGGAAATGTCGTAACTTTGATGAACATCTAGAAATGAGATATCGGATATAAATGTTAAGTAGGCCTGTCGGTTAGTGAATGAACTGCGAAGTATTTGGATCAGTGTTCATTATCGTGTATATTCAGTTACTCGATTGATTAATCGTAAAACTGCACAAGTAAGTTTATCTTTAAATTAGTTGTAGTACCGTTATCGAGGTATTTCCGTTTTAACTTCGTTTTTAAGCTTAGACCTATAATTCATCAGTGTACTAGTGAAGTGTAAAAACTTAAGGACGAAGTAAACTTATTGGTTATAGTTACATGGACTAGACTTCAAATTATTTTCACATAATAACTTGAAAGAATCCACCCAGCGACAGAATTATGTTACAAAAAATGGCAGAGATTAATTTTAGATCATTATTATTTTAAAATATAATTCGATAAGAAGCTTTATAATCATAATTACCAATGCGAGATAATACTTGGTGTTTTTTAAAGTATTTTTCTGGCCTAATTATATATATTTATAATAAATTTAGTTTCAAGTACATGATGTGTCCATCTTGTGACAAAATTACATGCCTAGCAGAAAAACAAATTACGCTGAATTGCCTTTAATGGACCTGTTTTAAAAGAGCTAACAAAACAAAGGGAAATTCAACTTTCAAAAACTCTCGATGATTACTTACTCATAGTAACAGTGTACAGTTGTCACACGGATTGAAGAGCCTTAACTTTGTAAGTTCATTGTTGTTGATAGTAGTAATAATAAAAAAACAAAATAAAATATGAACGATTGTTCATTATTAAGCACAACGTTGCACAATGGACTATTTGTACTCTGCCCACTGCGGGTATCGAAACCCGAAATTTAGCATTGTAAGTCGTGAGACTTAACGTTGAAACACCGGAGGAGGAAGGGGGAGAGAGAGTGAAACTAATTGGGAAGCTTTTGATGTTTAGCAGTTTTGCTTCCGAAGCTTTAAAAACATTTAATTTTATTTCCCTGCTTATCCTAGGGGTGTATGGACAAAATCATAATCTAGGCCTAGTTTTGCTTATCGTCCAGCTCAACAGGATGTGGCTGATTTTATAGCCATTGGCAAGGTCTTTCGAGAGAAAAAGGGAGGCGTTTAGTTATGACTTGGAAGGACGTATATGTTATTTATATTAACATCACGTATATCTCTTAAAGTATTTTTTTTATCTTCAAAGAATGTTGATAAATCTTGAAACGGTATGACAACTCGTCGTGTGGATTCTTATTTATTGAAGTTTTCATCTATTAAATAAAAAATTACGAGCTCGGAATAGCATCAAAATCAATAGATAAGGATCTTCGTTACAATTTGAATTCAAAAACCAATAATAATACTTCAAAAATATTAGTTTTATCAAAAGTTGTTTAAGAAAAGTTTGATATTTCCATTCGTAGTTTTGATAATCAGCGGTAAGGTCACGAAAATAGATTTTACCCTTGCCTTGGACGAACTGAATACATAAATATTGTATTTGTGTACTGTTATTTTTCTTACGATTCATTAAGTTAGAAATAACAAACATATATCATTTTGTTAAAAAAAATAAAAATATTTATTGTTCCCAATCTTCTCGGCAGTAAACTTTTTTTTTAATTCCAATATCAACCTACATTACAAGCTTCTTTGGTATTATTAAATAGTTTTGGATACCAAGTCGAAGAATAAAAACCTGACATAAAGACTATGATATTATAAGTAAAAATCATAATTAAAGAAAGTTGATACCTTGAGCACTTGGGAAAAGATAGACTTTTCTATTCGGGTTATAAATTTGAAGTTGTAGAATTAAGAACTATCCCGATATATTCTTTCGCTTTTACATGTTTTTCAATTATCTTACAATTATTAACTTACGCATATATGCGATATTGTTTAATAATTCATTACCTTGACACACACAACAAGAACTTGTGTTGTCCATAACAATATGGGAGAATGCGCTAAGCTACTATCGCAAGCTCTTATAAGTTTCATACTTGGAGAAAAAAGATCACTAACAAGGATAATTATAAATCTAAAGTGGTGTCTATAAAAACTAGCTTAATCAGGAAATTTGGACGCCACGTGGCTCGCACCTGCATGAAACTGGTACTCGAACATTTCGTGACCATATGAGCTGATTTGACAGAGAATGGTTTATTTTGAATTGATAAATGTTTCGATTATGTGTTTATATGAATTGTTTTATATAACAGGAAAATATATCTTTGATAATAATTTACTTCGGTCACTTATTCTCTTTCACAAACACAGTTTGTATTTTTTATACTAAAGTTTTCTACGTATTTTATGTAGTTTCCTTACACAGGCTTCAAAGTACAAATGGGTGGCCATTACGTAAGCGTAAGATCCCTTTTATGATTGGTTATCCTAAATATGTTCACTTATAGGACAAAGTACCGTATTTTTCGGCGTATGAGGCACACTTTTTTACCCTAAAATTTGATGTCAAAATCTGCTTGCGTCCTATACACCGAAGGTATGAATAATATACACCTGGAAAAAAGTTAAGCACCCCCAAATATTTTTCAGGATTGCTTATTGAAAATAAGGTTTAATTTTCATGATGTTGAGCAATGTTCATAAT